CATTGACAGCCTCAGGTTATCTATGAAGACCTCAGATAATCATTGACAGCCTCAGGTTATCTATGAAGACCTGTGTAATCATTGACAGCCTCAGGTTATCTATGAAGACCTGTGTAATCATTGACAGCCTCAGGTTATCTATGAAGACCTCAGATAATCATTGACAGCCTCAGGTTATCTATGAAGACCTCAGATAATCATTGACAGCCTCAGATTATCTATGAAGACCTGTGTAATCATTGACAGCCTCAGGTTATCTATGAAGACCTGTGTAATCATTGACAGCCTCAGATTATCTATGAATACCTGTGTAATCATTGACAGCTTCAGGTTATCTATGAAGACCTTGGGTAATCATTGACAGCCTCAGGTTATCTATGAAGACCTCAGGTAATCATTGACAGCCACAGATTATCTATGAAGACCTTGGGTAATCATTGACAGCCTCAGGTTATCTATGAAGACCTTGGGTAATCATTGACAGCCTCAGGTTATCTATGAAGACCTTGGGTAATCATTGACAGCCTCAGGTTATCTATGAAGACCTCAGATAATCATTGACAGCCTCAGGTTATCTATGAAGACCTCAGATAATCATTGACAGCCTCAGATTATCTATGAAGACCTGTGTAATCATTGACAGCCTCAGGTTATCTATGAAGACCTGTGTAATCATTGACAGCTTCAGGTTATCTATGAAGACCTTGGGTAATCATTGACAGCCTCAGGTTATCTATGAAGACCTCAGGTAATCATTGACAGCCTCAGGTTATCTATGAAGACCTTTGTTAATCATTGACAGCCGCATATTATCTATGAAGACCTCAGATAATCATTGACAGCCACAGATGATCCTTGAATACCTCGGGTAATCATTGACAGCCTCAGGTTATCTATGAAGACCTGTGTAATCATTGACAGCCACAGGTTATCTATGAAGACCTCGGGTAATCATTGACAGCCTCAGGTTATCTATGAATACCTCGGGTAATCATTGACAGCCTCAGATTATCTATGAAGTCCTCAGGTAATCATTGACAGCCTCAGGTTATCTATGAAGACCTCGGGTAATCATTGACAGCCTCAGGTTATCTATGAAGACCTCAGGTAATCATTGACAGCCTCAGGTTATCTATGAAGTCCTCAGGTAATCATTGACAGCCTCAGGTTATCTATGAAGACCTCGGGTAATCATTGACAGCCTCAGGTTATCTATGAAGACCTCAGGTAATCATTGACAGCCTCAGGTTATCTATGAAGTCCTCAGGTAATCATTGACAGCCTCAGGTTATCTATGAAGACCTCGGATATTCATTGACAGCCTCGGGTTATCTATGAAGACCTCGGGTTTTCATTGACAGCTTCAGGTTATCTATGAAGATCTTGGGTAATCATTGACAATTCCATGTGTTCTTTGAAGATCCTGAATGATTTTTGATAACCTTGCAGTCTCATGTGAAATGTAAATGACCATGAGTTAACCTTGAAGAGCACAGCTGATTCTTATTTGTAGTAATTCTTCCTCTCTACTAATTCTAAGATATAAAAAGTTCACCAGTGCATCTTGAATTTAAGTTATTATTGTATGGAATTTGAAAACAAGAAAATGATGACAGAAAAGAGATCTACACACAAAAAAGTAACAGAGAAGAAATACATATTATTTCTCAACATAACAAACAAATACTGACTTTCATACAAAACTTGATACCGTCTACATATTTTCAAATCTCTCATTACAAGGACCAAAATTTGACATACACTAACCAACATTATAACAATACCAGCGAAAGACACAAGTTCAAAGGTGACAACATACATATAACATAATTAAATATATTCATTTTGTGAGTATACAAACAAACAAGGATATATTTCATATACAATCCTATATCTTTACAGTTCTAATAAAATCTACCAAATTAGTGTTTTAAAATTCCCCATGTCCAGCCCACTCTATACAATATGTTTTTAACCACAGATTTCACCATATGCTGTACTTTTCAAACATTTATCACATTTTGGGAATAAATGTCTTGCACAAAATTCTAATGAAACACTTCTGTGCAATCAGCGCTGTTCTGTCTGATTTACATATAGACAATGTAGATCCATAATTATAGTCATTGATATATATCTAGATATGACCACTTTATACCTGGTCAAGCTAAATAAATAATGTCATGAATCACTAAAACAGGATCAGCACCACAGTTCTCTCCCTTTATTGTTACACAAGATTCTTACCTTCGTTTTGTACACTGAAGAGTTCCATCCTCCACTACAGTAGGTTAGTTATAATATCAATTTCTTCATTCTGCTAGGAACTAAGCACTTGTAGAAGGCTTTCTTTAAGGAGAAATATGAACTACATTTCACCACATTGTGCCTTCATAATCAACTACCCAAAAGGAATCTAACATTCACAAAGACAGTCTGTATACAGTTTAGTTTATACAAAAAGATTTCACCATCTCACACTATCTATGTACTGTGCATATTAATTGCTAACATTATAAGGTCTTGATAAAATTACCCACAAGAAATAAGGATTGATTTGTTTAAGCTGTTTCCAGAACAATAATAATGATATTACTTTAATATGGGAAGAAATCTAGCTTTATAACAACTAATAGTATTTCCATAAGGTTACATGAGATTAGCACCATTATAATAAGTATATAGTGACTTATCCATCTATATAAGACTTTTAATTGTTGATCCCTATTATAGAATTTAAATCTGCTTCAAATCCCCACCGTGTTTGTTGTTTTAGTTTTGCTAAATTGAGTATTGAGCACCTGAACAACCATGCTGAACCTTTTAGGTCCTACCACAACCCTATCATCCCCCGAAGACACATAAACTTCCCACAGGGCATACACAGTAGGCACTTCAAACAGTTTCTCATCATAGACTTTACAATACTTCTTAAGCTTTCTTAAACAATTTCTATGCTACTTAATTAAGTTCTAGGAAAACTCTTTCCCCAGCTGTTATATCTTAAAACTACACTACATTTTACAAAGTGATAACATCTGACACTCGAACATAAATGTTTCATATCTATTTTGGCAAAAATATCCCATTAATATGGTTCTATTGTATCAGTACAAAGATCTAACACTAGGGTTTATCTCCATTGTCTTGATAGGCACGTTCCATAGTACTGTATTCTTGTCCTTATTCCCTCTAAATTCTCTAGCGGTTACGATCACATCTGCTCTCTGCACCCCTGAAACAAGTTATGGCAAACTTGATAGGTTCCAGGCAAAAAAAATGACCAATCAAAGGCTGATATGCTCCTTTTGAAGATTACAAAACAGCGACACCAAACTTCAAAGCCATTACAGTACACCATTAATGCGAGTTTGAGATTCGTTTGATGCACATCAAAGGATCACACCGGCATTTTTGTCCTGTCCACAAGGTGTCGTGCATAGAACCTTCAATTTTGCTATATGTTCCAGGGGTGAAGACAGTGAAAGTGATCATAACCCCTAGAGTATTGAGAATGGTCCTTATTAGAAGTATTATATACTGTTATTAAGTTAAGAGTAATTTGATTAACACCCTCATGTTATAAGTTACGTTAAAACATTAGATAAATAAAAACAAAAGATACCTGTGGACAATATAAGCCCAGTATAATCATTATATTATACAGAAATTAATCAGCACTGAACATGAAGTATCACAGTTTAGGAAATACAGGTGTAAACAAAGGTGAAAGCAATGTGTTATTAACAAATAGTTTATGATACAGCTTATGATATACAATTATTACATGTATTTACAATACGTCCCTATAACGAGGGCAGTCTGTGTTCACCAACAAACGACACAATGACACAATCCATTATCATATTGCACCTTCCTTATGGTTAACTAGGTTTTCTAATCTCCACTTGGTAAACAGGAATGTACCATCAGGGGTGTGTAACCAAAAAATGTGACTAGAGCGGTCTTATGTAAGATGAAAAAGTTTTACCGAATATCAGGTATCTTATATCTCTGAAGTCAAAATCACATGGTTTGAGGTTTTTTAATGTGAAGTGTTTTCTCTACAGTTCATTAAACATAATACAACTCATTCAACATATTACAGCTCATCCAACATATCACACTTCATCCAACATATTACAGCTCATCCAACATATCACACTTCATCCAAAACACTGATTACTGATAATTATTGTTAGCAGATAACAAAACTAAATCAGAGAGGTTTTTTTTTTATATTTTGACGAAACATTCTTCAATTATTTATTCATATAATTAAAAATACTAAATAAATTCAAATATTGAATTATCTTGTGGAAAACATTAAAATTTCAGGACTTTTAGTAATAAATAAAAATTCAAAACTTTGTTTTTCTTCACACTTGGTTTGAAGTGGCAGCCAGTGTTCAGTTGTGATGATGGATGCCATACCAGGTAAAGTTACTCACTAACCATATGGTGATAGGTTCTGTCACACAACTGGATGTTAAGATTGACAAGGAACAGGACCGCTTAATGATGACAATGATTAAAAACAGCGATGTAAAATTTAGTTAATGGAGATCACAGATGTCAAGATCACCATGTTTTATAACAAATTCTTTGACAATTTTGCTATTCACTTGAAAGAAAAGACCTATTTAGGAAACATCACTCTGTGTTTTCTCACATTTGGTCCTTTTTTAACTGCTTGCTAGCTAAATACTTAATAAGAATCTCTTCGACAGTCTATTTGTAAGATTTATTCAAATTTTTAGAGAGCCTATTTGTAAGCTTTAGTCAAATTTCTTCGAGAGCCTATTTGTAAGCATTGTTCAAATTTCTTGGAGAGCCTATTTGTAAGATTTATTCAAATTTTCAGAGAGCCTATTTGTAAGCTTTATTCAAATTTTTAGAGAGCTTATTTGTAAGCTTTGTCCATATTTCTTTGAGACACATTTGTAAGCATTGTTCAAACTTGGAGAGCCTATTTGTAAGCTTTAGTCAAATTTCTTAGAGAGCCTATTTGTAAGCTTTGGTCAAATCTCTTGGAGAGACTATTTGTAAGCTTTGTCCATATTTCTTTGAGACACATTTGCAAGCATTGGTCGAATTTCTTGGAGAGCCTATTTGTAAGCTTTGGTCAAATTTTTTGGAGACATTTGTAAGCTCTGGTCTGGTTGACCAATACAAGGACTTATTGATCACAATCAATCAATATAAATTTGATTTAAAGACAGAATAACTGCCATATATTCAACTTCAGTGAAATTGGGTTTCCAACAAGCAGTTCCAGATGATGAAATTATAAACTACTGGTCAGTGATCAACCTATCCATGGTTCCAGTGTTTTGTTATGAAACAGGAGGTTAACAGTTGGTAGAGGTGTGGTTTCTTCCTTGTCTGGGGCTGTATCTTGATTCAAATCCCCAACACGTGAACTGTCCTGATAAACAGAAATAAAGACAACAGTAAGTCTCTTATCAATCTCACTGTAAATATCTCTCACAGTCAATCTGACTGTAAATATCTCACAGTCAATCTCACTGTAAATATCTCACAGTCAATCTCACAGTAAATATCTCTCACAGTCAATCTCACTGTAAATATCTCACAGTCAATCTCACTGTAAATATCTCACAGTCAATCTCACTGTAAACATCTCTCACAGTCAATCTCACTGTAAATATCTCTCACAGTCAATCTCACTGTAAATGTCTCTCACAGTCAATCTCACTGTAAATGTCTCTCACAGTCAATCTCACTGTAAATGTCTCTCACATTCAATCTCACTGTAAATATCTCACAGTCAATCTCACTGTAAACATCTCTCACAGTCAATCTCACTGTAAACATCTCTCACAGTCAATCTCACTGTAAATATCTCTCACAGTCAATCTCACTGTAAATATCTCTCACAGTCAATCTCACTGTAAATATCTCTCACAGTCAATCTCACTGTAAATATCTCTCACAGTCAATCTCACTGTAAATATCTCTCACAGTCAATCTCACTGTAAATGTCTCTCACAGTCAATCTCACTGTAAATGTCTCTCACAGTCAATCTCACTGTAAATATCTCTCACAGTCAATCTCACTGTAAATATCTCTCACAGTCAATCTCACTGTAAACATCTCTCACAGTCAATCTCACTGTAAACATCTCTCACAGTCAATCTCACTGTAAATATCTCTCACAGTCAATCTCACTGTAAATATCTCTCACAGTCAATCTCACTGTAAATATCTCTCACAGTCAATCTCACTGTAAATATCTCTCACAGTCAATCTCACTGTAAATATCTCTCACAGTCAATCTCACTGTAAATATCTCTCACAGTCAATCTCACTGTAAACATCTCTCACAGTCAATCTCACAGTAAACATCTCTCACAGTCAATCTCACTGTAAATATCTCTCACAGTCAATCTCACTGTAAACATCTCTCACAGTCAATCTCACTGTAAACATCTCTCACAGTCAATCTCACTGTAAACATCTCTCACAGTCAATCTCACTGTAAATGTCTCTCACAGTCAATCTCACTGTAAACATCTCTCACAGTCAATCTCACTGTAAATATCTCTCACAGTCAATCTCACTGTAAATATCTCTCACAGTCAATCTCACTGTAAATATCTCTCACAGTCAATCTCACTGTAAATGTCTCTCACAGTCAATCTCACTGTAAATATCTCTCACAGTCAATCTCACTGTAAATATCTCTCACAGTCAATCTCACTGTAAATATCTCTCACAGTCACTGTAAATATCTCTCACAGTCAACCACTGTAAATATCTCTCACAGTCAATCTCACTGTAAATATCTCTCACAGTCAATCTCACTGTAAATATCTCTCACAGTCAATCTCACTGTAAACATCTCTCACAGTCAATCTCACTGTAAACATCTCTCACAGTCAATCTCACTGTAAATATCTCTCACAGTCAATCTCACTGTAAATGTCTCTCACAGTCAATCTCACTGTAAACATCTCTCACAGTCAATCTCACTGTAAATATCTCTCACAGTCAATCTCACTGTAAATATCTCTCTCAGTCAATCTCACTGTAAATGTCTCTCACAGTCAATCTCACTGTAAATGTCTCTCTCAGTCAATCTCACTGTAAATATCTCTCACAGTCAATCTCACTGTAAATATCTCTCACAGTCAATCTCACTGTAAATGTCTCTCAGAGTCAATCTCACTGTAAACATCTCTCACAGTCAATCTCACTGTAAATATCTCTCACAGTCAACCTGACTGTAAATATCTCTCACAGTCAATCTCACTGTAAATATCTCTCACAGTCAACCTGACTGTAAATGTCTCTCACAGTCAATCTCACTGTAAATATCTCTCACAGTCAATCTCACTGTAAATATCTCTCACAGTCAACCTGACTGTAAATATCTCTCACAGTCAATCTCACTGTAAATATCTCTCACAGTCAACCTGACTGTAAATGTCTCTCACAGTCAATCTCACTGTAAATATCTCACAGTCAATCTCACTGTAAACATCTCTCACAGTCAATCTCACTGTAAACATCTCTCACAGTCAATCTCACTGTAAATATCTCTCACAGTCAATCTCACTGTAAATGTCTCTCACAGTCAATCTCACTGTAAACATCTCTCACAGTCAATCTCACTGTAAATATCTCTCACAGTCAATCTCACTGTAAATATCTCTCTCAGTCAATCTCACTGTAAATGTCTCTCACAGTCAATCTCACTGTAAATGTCTCTCTCAGTCAATCTCACTGTAAATGTCTCTCACAGTCAATCTCACTGTAAACATCTCTCTCAGTCAATCTCACTGTAAACATCTCTCACAGTCAATCTCACTGTAAATATCTCTCACAGTCAATCTCACAGACAATCTCACTGTAAACATCTCTCACAGTCAATCTCACTGTAAATATCTCTCTCAGTCAATCTCACTGTAAATGTCTCTCACAGTCAATCTCACTGTAAATGTCTCTCACAGTCAATCTCACAGTCAATCTCACTGTAAACATCTCTCAGGGTCAATCTCACTGTAAACATCTCTCACAGTCAATCTCACTGTAAACATCTCTCTCAGTCAAACTCACTTTAATATCTCTATTAGTCAGTCTCACTGTTAACATCTCACAGTCAATCTCACTGTAAACATTCGCACAGTCAATCTCACTGTAAATGTCTCTCACAGTCAATATCACTGTAAACATCTCTCTCAGTCAAACTCACTTTAATATCTCTATTAGTCAGTCTCACTGTTAACATCTCACAGTCAATCTCACTGTAAACATTCGCACAGTCAATCTCACTGTAAATGTCTCTCACAGTCAATCTCACTGTAAATATCTCACAGTCAATCTCACTGTAAACATCTCTCACAGTTAATATCACTGTAAACATCTCTCACAGTCAATCTCACCAGTATCTTTATTGTCTATGTTACCAGTATTTCCCCTGTATATCTAAATACAGTGATACTAACAATAGATTTAAATATCCCTACAATAAACAGATTACACTTTAGTGTACATACCTGGTACTGGGAGACAAAGTTTAGTAATCTAAGGGACACCTTCCTACTGGAATGTAGCAGTTCCTGGAGGCTGTAAAAGATAACCTCAGATCTATTAATACATTCCACAATACCTTTGACATGAAAAATGGTTGAACACATAGAAGGATATTTTCATCGGTCAAAACTATCATAATCATACATCAAAAAGGGAAATTTTCTGTACACCACCTGAATTTTCAAATATAAGAATACATGTATCTATTTTTTGCAAATATTTCCCCTTTTGTTTGAAGGGAAAAGCTGATGGCAGATGGACAGCTCGCTAACCGTTCAGGCAGGTAAGCTATTGAATACATGAAATCTGTTTCTTTATAACTCTAAGAAGTCTCCCCAAATTTTTTCAAGTTTACTACAGAAATACTCTCCTGTGATTCAAGGTATGTTATTTCACAATTTCACTCCAGTGTTCAACAAGTCAAAAGGAAATTAAGGTAAAAATATTTCACTATTCTTACACCAGTATGCAGCAGGTCAGATATCATAACTAAAAGCTTTGTAATTTATTTTGTGATTTATTTTTAGTCTGTTACAACTTGAAGATTCTAACACATTTGACACTGTGACCTTGACACTCACTTAATGCTCATACTTTTTGTCTAAAAAAATGCTGAATAACACATTTCTTGATTAAATAAAGTTTATGGTTTAATCACCGATATACTCATGTTGTCAAGGTAAGTATACTCCTGTTGTCATGGCACTCATTCTGACACTCTCCAAAACATGGTGGCCATCTTTGATGAATATGGCTTATAATACAGGTACCAGGTACTTAGAATTGGGTGAAGAAAATGTATTGTTAAAAACCTGAGCAAGCAAATTCCTAATTACAGATCTCAATTTCAGGATTCCTTAAAAAAACTTGTTAAAGCAGAACGTTGACAACAAGTCAAGACAACATGGATAATGCCATCAGCTCACAAGCCTTTACTGCCATGAAATCTGAAAAAAAACGATTTCATATTGAAAACTGAAAATTTTGAATCCTTCAAACCTTACACCAATTCTTTTTTGTATTTACCTATTCTTTGAAAATAATCCTTCAGCAATGACTTTTGAACACACATCCTTATTAAGACTGGAACTGAACAAGGGAATACCAAAATAGCATTCCAAAATAACCCAATCCTCTTCTTTTGTGTCTTCTAATGACCTTGAACTCTGACCAACACGGTCACGGTCAAGGTCAAGTTCTAATGTCATGTTTTCCTTAAGTGTTTTGACAGATAGGTTTTCTCCCGCACCAGTAGCACCGAACATTTCTGAGTCTAACAAATCAATCTCCGAAGCCAGCATGTCTGCCGAGCTTTTATCTGTGACACCGTTCAGTGGTCCATCCGATTCTGTGTCCGACGGATGGGTGTTAAAGATAATGCCATTGCTAGCTTCCTCAAAGTAGTCTTCCTCATCAGGATCCTCCTGGAACACCGTGCGGGAAAGCAGTCCCGTGTTCAGCAGAGTGATATAACCACAAGTGTGTTCTAGGTCTAAATGTTCACATAGATTTTTAATGCCTGTATGACTTTCATAATTCTGCTTGGAAAATGATTGTCCTGAAATAAAGAACACAAATAATCCTTTTAAGATTTCTTTCTTGTATCTATCTTATAGATCCAATAACTGAAAAAATTTTCTCATGATCCATAATTCCACAGGTACGATATAACTTGTGATGAAATCTAATAAAACAGTTTCTCTTGTAAACATAAGCAAACAGATTAAACTGATCTATGGAAATCTCAGGAGCATTCTCTACTATGAAACAGTATTTCAGGTAACATGGCATTTACTTTTACAACGACACTAAAACAGCTTAAGTTGTTTCTAAATCTTCCCTACATGACTGGGCCAGCTCACCTCTATCAAAACTTCACCAATCTCATGTTGCAAACATTTCTTTTCAAAAACTGATGTTATTTATAGAATAAAAAAGCTGTGCGAGGTCAGTTTACCAACAAAATGTAAATGGGTGTTATTGAATCATAACACTACTTGCTAATATATTAACTGCTTAACTACACATCTTGACTTTGGAACACAATCAAAATGATATATTTCCACCTATGAATCAGTTTTACATTCACGTTTAATAATGGATCAGACAGAAGACAGTATTGTTTACTTTCATATCTGTATTTTACCTAGTTTTGCCTTGTCAATAGGAAATGATATGTTGACTGTTTTACCCTCTGACTGCCAACCATGGGCCTGCAATATACATATCAAAAATTGACAAACTTCAGATGACTTTTTTTATTATCAAACCATATTTAAAGGTTTTAGGTTTAAATTTGTTGATACAAAATACACAGAAATGAAAATCCTATCACTTTAATGTGTCAAAAGGTCAACGAAAACTTCTTACATCAAAATAACGCAGTGAAAAATGATAGCCATACAAATCTAGATCAAATGAAAATACAAAAATTACTTCTAAAAATTACTTGTTTTTTCTGATATTGACGTGTAACTTTACCATGTTTGAATATTTATGATCTATTTTCGTGAAAATTTGATTTCTCCAATACAAGTAAATGGCTTGTTTTTGTAAAAACAAAATATTATCACTGACGGTTTGAACAGAAATACGGACTTCACTGAAAAAAAACTTTTTTAAAATAATATTTACCTGGACAAAAACTGCAGAATGACTAAGAGCATCATTGAGTGTTAACAAGATGTTGGATGTGGCGATGACAGCAGGGTCGTGTCCCCAGGTCGTCACCAAGAGTTTGTCATACTCCTACAAACAGATAAAGTGATCCATCGGTCAGAAATACAGGGGTAGGTTATCATGACAAATGGACTGTGTGGAAAGCTCCTCAGAGTCATATCAAGGTAAATGAACTGCGACTTACATGGAATATGGTAGGTAGCTTGCGTAGTTTTGTGCCTTTGACCAGAAGAAGGGAGGGGGGACCACATTTGGTTAAGCTATACAGGAACAACTTAAACCACACAGAATTCACCTGTAGATAAAAACACATATCATGTTATTCTGAAAGTTTCCTCAATAATAAACAATCAAAGTGCCACAATCATGTCCTAACAGTCACATATCACTTCTTTCTGGTGACTTATATCTGTTTAGTTCACTAGAGGGCCTGTTTGGAACTTTTTCTATATATTAGACACAGTGGAAGGAGAGCCTATGTACCTCACTGTGACAGATTTGAGTATCAAATCTACCTACCTCAGGTACAGCTGGGCCTATATGTTGGGGTGTACAACTGCTCACAGGTTTGATTTCATAGCTTAATGGTGCCATGGATACCAACAACCTGTACAAAATAATATGTATCACACTGAATGGCCATACATTCATACATTGACTCTGAACTTTTATACAAAATATATAAAAAAAACTTTTAAAATCTTATACTGTTGATGACTGATATACAACCATCGTGATCTAAAACCAAAAAATCCAAAACATGGCTGCGACGCCCTTCAGATGTCTACTATGAATCCTCAGCTGCCAAGTATCATACTTACCGGGTACTCATAGTTTCTATAAAGAACTCTGGCTGGGTACAACACAGAGAATCCCCTAGCAGTACCACTACAGATCATCACACTTACTCATAGTTTCTGTTTAGAACTCTGGCCCTAGTTGCAGCGTCCAGTCCCAACAGACTTTCACAGCGAATCAGATCAACAGCAAGTCCCGTTTTTGTGTCGCTCTCGAATGTCAGGTCCTTGTTGTATCTGAGAAACTTCAGTGTGTCCCTCAATGTCAGGGCATGCACAAAGTACCTCCTAGCTTCTCCTTCTGCCTCAGAACCAACCTAACACACAAACATTATCAGCTGATATCAGCCACAAGGTGTTTCTTCCTGAGCAGACTAGAAAAACACTTTTACCAAATTATACGATTAGATATCGTTGTGAACCTCACAATTGCAAAACTTTTAATACTTGACTTTTTGTATCAGAGTGAAAGGGGAAATGTACGGGTATGGTGTAAACAAAATGAGTTATCTGTTGAACCTAACGAAATTATACAAAATTATTCAACAGCAAAATGTTAAAATTGTCTTAACAAAGCACAGAAGCAGTCGATCCTCAAAGACAATGACTTGTTTGGAAAACAGTAAAAACATGTCAATTACCTGGTATAATAACATTATCTTATGAAACATTTACAGGGTAACTAACTGTTAAAAAATGCCATATATTCCTTTTGTTCTTCATCACATTGGATATGGGAATGAAGAAATCAGAGCCCAAAAAAGGCATCTATCTGCTTGTGTACTGAAGGAAATTACTGTCGATTTACCACTTTGAGGAGTCTGAACTGAGACCTATGGCTATAGATTTATATCTATTGAAAACATCTCATCAGTTTTTACAAAGCATACCTACAAGTATTACAATTATCTTTTTGATGTAGTAGATGTGGATAGTCCTGACATGATTGTCTGTCAAACTGTGAAGTGAAACACTGTTACTTGCTGACAATACAAATTCTAACATTCTGAGCTCCATATACTGATTGCTTAAGATATAGAACTGGGTATCAAGTTGTGTCAGCTGGGCGAGCACAATGTGACAAGACATGAAAGAAGTTACATAAAATCAAGGCTAATTAAGAGACAAGATGTGTAAAATTTGGTGAAACTACCCACCTATTAAAATGATTGACGATTTACTGTAATACTAAACACACCTTCTAAATTAACAGGGGCTCTAAACCTGATTGATGACTGGGCATCATCCACACGAATATTATATTAATAAGAAACAGAAACAAAACGTTTGATCAGGACATTGGTTCTCACTTCTGCAATTTTTATATCCAGCTAATTTATCAACATCTCCAAATCCAAAGGACTCCTAAATTTTTCACTTCCTTCATTGTATAAAACAAATTTATTTGATATACCTACATAGTAAACAGTCTACAATGGACTTAGATTAAGGATTTAAAAGGATCAAATAATTATATAAATGTAAAAATCACATGACATACTTTCTCCAGCTCTGTAAGGAAACTGTCCAGGGATTCGTCACTAAGCTTTCCCACCTCAAACATGGTCACTGCATGGCTTTTCAGGCCCTGAAATATATACCAGCATACATACATCTGTCTACAATCTTCTCTTAAAGGACTTTAATACTCAGGAAATAATCATAACACAGAACAGAAATGTCTTACTTTAAAAAAAAGTTCTCTCTCAGATCTTTTAAAATATTCTCTGAAAGATCAAACAAATACATACTAGTTCATATACTCTGTCATATTAATATGTTGAATTAAGTAAACAGCACACTAATTTCAGATAATGTTTAAAAAAAAAAAAATCCAGGGAGAAGAATACAGGCTACTTACAGGCGATAGGTTCCCCATCATGAGGAATGCTGTCAATGTGGAATCAAAGAGGAAAGCGATTCTTTTACAACTTCCAACAGTAGGACTTTCACTCTCTGCAGACAGGATAAAAACAATGAGAATTTTTATACCTAGCTAATTTATCAAGATCTCCAAACCTGGGAAAACTCCCAAATTTTTACTCTATCGTTTCATTTACATTTATCGTTTCATAAAATTATAACGGCTTATGAGTACGAGTTTGTCCAAAGTAAAGTTAATAAATCAACTACATCTGGTCCAGATTTACCTTTCAATTTGGGGTAACGGAACATTGTTTGAAAAGTGTCAGAAACAGTACACTACTGTATGTCTTTGATGACTGTAACAATGGTTTTGTCAAAGGGTCAAACTGGAAGTACACTTCAATCACTGGTTGATCAAATTGTGTGACTGGTTATATAGTTTCAATCACTGTCTTATATCATATCATTTGGTATAAAAATTCATGATTTGTTATTTAAATATTTGAGATTGTATCAACAATCACATTGTCAATGTCAGCCATGGGAGGGAAAATACTATTTTCAATGTTCGATATTTTTAATTTTCTTTGCGCCAGATATAAGGAATGTTTTTTGTTTACACATTAAAATGAAGTTGGCATTTAATTGTTTTGTTTTACATCAAATTAGAATTTATGTTCATTGTTGTCCCAAATATATTTTGTTTACTATTTTTTAAATGTAAGGTGTAATGTTTTCTTAACAATATAAAAGGAGCATGCCTTTTGTTTGATGTGCAATTTACATAAATGATAAAAAAACATTATCCAGTTAATTCAAACTAAAAGGTAAGTACAGTCTGGATGTAGTTTGAGTGTTCAAATTTCAAATACATACAATTTTTACTATAAAAAGTTGGAAAGTTTTGCAGCCGAGAACATTACGGACTGCACCATCAAGAACCATTTTAAACAATCATTATATGTTTCTGTAGGTTAATCAAGTGAAGTTTTGAAGACAAATAGACAGCTCATGGAGTTGTGATGACAGACAAATAGCTCATGGAGCTGTGATGACAGACAAATAGACAGTTCATGGAGTTGTAATGACAGACAGACAGCTGATGGATTTGTGATGACATACAAATAGCTAATGTTGTTGTGATGACAGACAAATAGACAGCTGATGGAGTTGTGATGACAGACAAATAGACAGCTCATGGATTTGTGATGACAGACAAATAGACAGCTGGAGCTGTGATGACAGACAAATAGACAGCTGATGGAGATGTGATGACAGGCAAATAGACAGCTCATGGAGTTGTGATGACAGACAAATAGACAGCTGATGTTGTTGTGATGAAAGACAGACAGCTGATGGAGTTGTGATGACAGACAAATAGACAGCTGATGTTGTTGTGATGACAGATGAATAGACAGCTGATGTTGTGATGACAGACAGCTGGTGGAGTTGTGATGACAGACAAAAAGACAGTTGATGGAGCTGTGATGACAGACAAATAGGCAGCTGATGTTGTTGTGATGACAGACAAATCTTACCCATGACATCCTTCAGGGCATTGACATTAGAGTTTGGTTTGTCCTGCTCCTCTTCCTGGTGAGAGGGCTCTTTGTTTGCCTCAGCCAGAGCATTGTCCCAGTCTAAGATTGTCTGGTCAGGGGTTAACCTGTAAAGCATCATATCACATAAATTTTGTGTCATACATAGTTATTTCCATATCACACAATCCTAATGGCTGTTGGTTTATTTACATTTAAATACATTTTCAGTAACCAATTGGTAAATGATAATATACAAACCAACATGTTCAACAGTATCTTACTGATCATTGCTAGTAAGTCTGGGTTTGATATCCTGGGTTTCTATACACATATTATAACACCTTACATCAGTCCAAGGTATAAAAATGAACCTTTGAGTCAATGCAACGGATTATCTCCCATGATGATTGTCCTGTTTGGTATGAACAACTAGCTAGAACAGACTGTCTATATTGCTTCGGGTATCATAACAATTTCATATATAAAAAGTTGAAAATCAGTCAATCTATAGAGAGAATTACTTAGATTTCTATCCAGCATATCTGAACACATTCTCGTATTTTAAACACAGCAAATTCCTTCCTATCAATACATCAATTGATACCTCGGGGATCAGAACTTACTTCTTGTTTACTGGTTGCACTTCTTTCCATGAGGGATGAAGATTCTCACAGTCATAAAACTCTACCCCTTTCTTCTTAGCAAAACCAAGACGACAATACATGGAAACAGCATTCTGAAAAACATTTTAATTAGAGTATGAATATTACTGTAATACATACATGTATGTTGGAGCCTGTCACTGTAATACATACATGTATGCTGGAGCCTGTCACTGTAATACATACATGTATGCTGGAGCCTGTCACTGTAATACATACATGTATGTTGAAGCTTGTCACTGTAATACATACATGTATGTTGAAGCCTGTCACTGTAATACATACATGTATGATGGAGCCTGTCACTGTAATACATACATGTATGCTGGAGACTGTCACTGTAATACATACATGTATGCTAGAGACTGTCACTGTAATACATACATGTATGATGGAGCCTGTCACTGTAATACATACTTGTATGCTGGAGACTGTCACTGTAATACATACATGTATGCTGGAGACTGTCACTGTAATACATACATGTATGTTGGAGCCTGTCACTGTAATACATACATGTATGCTGGAGCCTGTCACTGTAATACATACATGTATGTTGAAGCCTGTCACTGTAATACATACATGTATGTTGAAGCCTGTCACTGTAATACATACATGTATGTTGAAGCCTGTCACTGTAATACATACATGTATGTTGGAGCCTGTCACTGTAATACATACATGTATGTTGGAGCCTGTCACTGTAATACATACATGTATGTTGGAGCCTGTCACTGTAATACATACATGTATGTTGAAGCCTGTCACTGTAATACATACATGTATGCTGGAGCCTGTTACTGTAATACATACATGTATGCTGGAGCCTGTTACTGTAATACATGCATGTATGCTGGATCTTGTTCAAACAAAGTGAGACATGAATCTGTCATACAACCAGTCTTTAATGGCTGAATGATAAAGAAGCTTGGTTAATTATATGGACTTCTTGACACCCGTACTGACATCTATAACTAATATATAACAGCAAAATCTCACCCTCGAAAAAAGAAATATATTTTAAACCAGTGTAATGTTCATCTTTACCACATGTGACAACAATAAGGTAAGGCGTATCAGACTTTTGCTTTCCTATATATTTTGCCTTTTTTTAACATACAGCTAAAATTGTGAAAGTTAAATGAAGGCGAAAGTTTTCCCCATTTACAATATGTTCATCAATGCATTATCTGACATATATATCTATGTGAGTGCTACCTGATAGGTAACATTGGTCTTACCTTGACTAGTTGTAGGTCTATTTGAAGGACATTGGCGAGCTGTAAACACAACAGACAACATTATATCTACCAGTTAACTTAATGAAGCTTCATTCATCTTAAGTCTCTATGAAGATGGTTCATTACTCAGTACATTTCACAAAGATATATTGTATCTATATATTGAGGAGGGTAGTTACCCATCAAACAGCTGTACTATACTTAAGGCAAATTAAAAGCAATCTTTCGTAACTATTGTCTGTTGCCTATCCTTATGGAAGGGAGATAATTCTTTCAAGGGAGTTAATTCTTTCTGTGATCAGTAATGAAGTAATAATAGAAACAGATAAAGCCTAAAAATCCCTTTCCTGTTAATGACAACCAGTATATAATTCAGATATGTAAATGATAATAAATTCAAATAGAATGAGATATCTGTACTTAAATATTCCCAAGAAATAGAATTGTAGTTTACGAAAACCAACCTTGTATGAATATCTTAACAGAAACTTTGCATTAGAAAACCAAGAACAATAGACGTGTATGCTATAAATTTGTTAAATGAATTATGCCACACCCATTCACTACTTCCTGTGATGTATGACCGACGTAAATCAGTTATATATTAATCTTTTAAGTACTTACCTCTGCCACGGTGGTGTGCTCATCAATCGACACAAATATCTTATAGAGTAAAGTTTCAAAGTAATCGCCTAACACACGGTTCATCACAAAACCTTCAAGTGGAGGAACTGTAAAATAAAAAGACATCATCAGTACATATGTTTTGTGAAATTCAAAATCGGCTAAATATTTCTGAAAACGTATTTTGTATCAGAACAGTTCAGGAATCATCAATTCACTCAAATGTGATCTACAGTCCATCTAGGTTGAAACTTTCCTCTCTATGAATGTAAATTTGTGATGAAATTTTTCATTAAAGAAAGATTCATTAAGGTTATAAATAATATGTCCATGGCATGTCCTTAAACTTTTGAATAAATACCTGTTGATATTGTAGATATTTTTTCTGTTTTTTCACTTAAATCTTTTTGACAAAGGAGTATATCTCTTAATTGTTGTATTGTTTTAATATTTAAGCAAGGCTGTTTAATTAATAACTTGATGAATGAGATGACACTAGTAACAAAGTGGCTTGAATTCTACTAACCAATTATACAGTCAGCGTCAGCAATTGGAACATCCAGGTAGATAAGCCCTTTTTTATATAATCCTGAAAAAAAATATTCTCATTAAAGAATGATGATGATGATGTGTTACGCATTGCAAAATTTTAAGAGACACAATTACACAAAAGCAATGGTGAATCATCAGCTAGGGTCCATAATACTGTGATCAGTTTTATCATGAACAGGTTTGTAGTCGTGATCTCCAAATGTAACAACACCTGAGTCTATAATTCTGTTACTAGCCTTACCATGAATAAGTTTGTAGTCTATAATAGTGTTACTAGCCTTACCGTGAACAAGTTTGTAGTCTATAATAGTGTTACTAGCCTTACCGTGAACAAGTTTATAGTCTATAATAGTGTTACTAGCCTTACTGTGAACAAGTTTGTAGTCTATAATACTGTTATAAGCCTTACCGTGAACAAGTTTATAGTCTATAATAGTGTTACTAGCCTTACCGTGAACAAGTTTGTAGTCTATAATACTGTTATAAGCCTTACCGTGAACAAGTTTGTAGTCTATAATAGTGTTACTAGCCTTACCGTGAACAAGTTTGTAGTCTATAATACTGTTATAAGCCTTACCGTGAACAAGTTTATAGTCTATAATAGTGTTACTAGCCTTACCGTGAACAAGTTTGTAGTCTATAATTCTGTTACTAGCCTTACCGTGAACAAGTTTGTAGTCTATAATTCTGTTACTAGCCTTACCGTGAACAAGTTTGTAGTCTATAATTCTGTTACTAGCCTTACCATGAACAAGTTTGTAGTCTATAATACTGTTATAAGCCTTACCGTGAACAAGTTTGTAGTCTATAATAGTGTTACTAGCCTTACCGTGAACAAGTTTGTAGTCTATAATACTGTTACTAGCCTTACCGTGAACAAGTTTGTAGTCTATAATTCTGTTACTAGCCTTACCGTGAACAAGTTTGTAGTCTATAATAGTGTTACTAGCCTTACCGTGAACAAGTTTGTAGTCTATAATACTGTTACTAGCCTTACCGTGAACAAGTTTGTAGTCTATAATACTGTTATAAGCCTCACCGTGAACAAGTTTATAGTCTATAATAGTGTTACTAGCCTTACTGTGAACAAGTTTATAGTCTATAATAGTGTTACTAGCCTTACCATGAACAAGTTTGTAGTCTATAATACTGTTATAAGCCTTACCGTGAACAAGTTTGTAGTCTATTATAATGTTATAAGCCTTACCGTGAACACGTTTGTGGTCTATAATAGTGTTACTAGCCTTACCGTGAACAAGTTTGTAGTCTATAATACTGTTATAAGCCTTACCGTGAACACGTTTGTGGTCTATAATAGTGTTACTAGCCTTACCGTGAACAAGTTTGTAGTCTATAATACTGTTACTAGCCTTACCGTGAACAAGTTTGTAGTCTATAATAGTGTTACTAGCCTTACCATGAACAAGTTTGTAGTCTATATAATAGTGTTACTAGCCTTACCATGAACAAGTTTGTAGTCTATAATTCTGTTACTAGCCTTACCGTGAACAAGTTTGTAGTCTATAATACTGTTACTAGCCTTACTATGAACCAGTTTGTAGTCTATAATAGTGTTACTAGCCTTACCATGAACAAGTTTGTAGTCTATAATACTGTTACTAGCCTTACCGTGAACAAGTTTGTAGTCTATAATACTGTTACTAGCCTTACCGTGAACAAGTTTGTAGTCTATAATTCTGTTACTAGCCTTACCGTGAACAAGTTTGTAATCATGATCTCCAGCTATAACCACACCTGCGTCTATAATACTGTCTATGAGTTGCCTCTCTACAGTCGTACACATCTGAAAACATAAACAAAATAATTATTTTAATAACAGTAGTAAGAAAATCATGTTTGTCACTGATTCACAAAGTTACAAATAAAATCAGATTGCTATTCTGAAACAGTTATGGAATATGTATTAATGAAGAATGTCAGTATCTCATCAATATCATCATATGATTATCTGTCGTGACCTCCTTAAAAGTTGTACATGTCTCTGTGATATAGCGTACACTGACACACCAATGATACCTACCCTGACATCATCCTTGGTGAAAAAGCCTACACTGACCAATGATACCTACCCTGACATCATCCTTAGTGACAAAGCCTACACTGACACACCAATGACACCTACCCTGACATCATCCTCAGTGACATAGCCTACACTGACACACCAATAATACCTACCCTGACATCATCCTCAGTGACATAGACTACACTGACACACCAATGATACCTACCCTGACATCATCCTCAGTGACAAAGCCTACACTGACACACCAATGATACCTACCCTGACATCATCCTCGGTGACATAGCCTACACTGACACACCAATGATACCTACCCTGACATCATCCTTGGTGACATAGTCTACACTGACACACCAATGATACCTACCCTGACATCATCCTCAGTGACAAAGCCTACACTGACACACCAATGATACCTACACTGACATCATCCTCAGTGACATAGCCTACACTGACCAATGATACCTACCCTGACATCATCCTCGGTGACAAAGCCTACACTGACACACCAATGATACCTACCCTGACATCATCCTCAGTGACATAGCCTACATTGACACACTAATGATACTTACCCTGACATCATCCTCAGTGACATAGCCTACATTGACACACTAATGCTACCTACCCTGACATCATCCTCAGTGACATAACCTACACTGACACACCAATGATACTTACCCTCACATCATCCTCAGTGACATATCCTACACTGACCAATGATACCTACCCTGACATCATCCTCAGTGACATATCCTACACTGACACGCCACCAGTGTTCCATTACAGCGGTATCAACTGGTTGTGCTGGTAATAATTCCTTTGGATTTTTCCTTCTGAAAAATTTCTGTAGAAAAGAAATTAAATGATTTCATTCTCCTTAATTTCAGTTTTTTTTTTCAGAACAATTATAATTTCACACAGTTATGAAAAGTTTTCACTTGATCCATAGTTTAGTTTGTAAGTTTATTGCAGTGTAATATTTGTTTGCCTTGCATTCTGTATCTTGAATATTAAATTTGTGATCAAGCCTGATCAAGCCTGACACAGAACAGTGTGTGCAATAAAATATAGTTTGATGACCCGAAATGGTTATACATGTATATGATTAAATCACAACGCAGGCAACAGATATGAAGTCAAAGTGACTATTTTTAGGTAAAGGTTCTTTACAATATCTATAAGACCTTTTGAACACATGATTATCAGGAGCTCTTAGTTTCATAAAAGTTTTATTATAATTCGAATAAAAAAATCATTTTATCTCAGAAAACGGGAAAATTTTGCGATGTTTCTTAAGTCTCGAAATGAGATTTTTAAAAATATAATTGACACTTTATTGAAATGAATATAATGAAGATTTAAGAGTCCTATATGTGTAAAACATGTACAAAATTAACTGATGAGCTACAATTTCTGCCTCACCTTAGAGGATCTACACTGGTTCATCAAATCAATATATTGATTACGACCAATCCCAAGCAGACGTAGACCTAAAGATAAACGACAGATATAAAGATAAAACCAGCAAATCTTTGATACAGTCAGTCAGTAAAATACTTGCCTCTCCCTTCCTACAGGTAATCATTATTACAATGGATCATAACTAATTAAATAGATTCTCTTTCTGACACAACTTCTTAGTACATACAGATCTTAACATGGAATTTTTGTTTTGGTTTTTTTTTTTTTGTTTTACTTGAAAACGATTTCCTGGAATCCAATGGGATGGCAATTGTATGAATATGCAGGGCTCTCGATCTGCTAGATTTGGGGCCGAATTCCCAACGCAAAAATATTATCTTTTTTCCCAATTTAGACCCCAAGTTTTCCCAATTCTAAGGAAAACACCATTATTATTTCCCACTTCTAAGGGCCCCGGGCCCCAGTCCCAAAATGGGGTGTGAGAGCCCTGATATGATACACTTACAATCAGCAGCGGTGAAATTGGGAAGTGAATCGTAGCTCTTCTCCTGTGTCATGATGGTGGACATCATGTTGACGTAGTAGGTGAATGGTGTGACACGTAGGCCTTTCACCACCACATCAGACAAGTGGTAGGGATAAAGCATGAGATGCTCCTGACTATAACGCATCATCTCTTCGTAGTAACGCTTCTCATCCTTACGCACCGTCTTCACTGTGGAGATTCACAAATTGTCATATCAAATTCGATTATTCACAAAGTGTTGTAAAGATTCCCATTCAAATTTAGAAGACCACTAACCCTATTCATGGTTTAGTCTAATCATTACAAGTACTTTTTCAAGCATACATATAAATCAGATTTATTAACGATCAGAGTGAACTCCCTTTAATCTTTCTCTAAATGGCAAAAGATGATTTGATGCAAGTAAAATATGTATATTAGATACTAAACAATTTCTTTTGTTTCAAGTTCTCAAACCTATTACATTTTACATACATAAAAATAAATACAGCGTACCTCGATGTTGGATACATGTACCATATGTATCCACTGAATGAAAGTTTCAGTTGTCTCATAAAATAAATAAATAAATAAATAAATAAATAAATAATACATACCTAAGTTGCCTTTATATCTCAGCTGATTTTTTACACTAAACTGACCAACAGCCTTTTCATATTCCTTTTGAGAATTACCCAAAACCTACAATGAGAACATCAGACCAATATCAATAAACGTCATATACGACTGCTTATGTGAGGTTGAGCATTATATATCTGAAATGACAATGGAAAGTTTATATGAGAGAAAGTGTGTGTGAAATGTATTTTGCATGTAAAAAAGAAGAAAATTTGATGAAAGACAGAAAGTTTGTTGTATTTCTCATTTTAATTAATTGTACGAGATGTGAGAAAGAGAAAAAATGTATAAAAAAGATTATAGACGTTGTGTGATTAAGTATACAGATGGACCAAACCATGTGCCCAGAAAAATGACAGATATATTATATTTAGTTAATGAGTAATTGCATTCCTCCTTGCCATATTGTGATGCCAAGACTGTTTGTGTCCCTTATAGATAGTTAGAATGCATAATTACTATATAAGGTAATGATGCAGGCAAATGATACTGAACACCAAGTATTACAAGTCATTTTCTAAATGCTGAAACCGGTTTCATTTTGTAAAAAGTAAGATGTTATTTCTTCTTATATGCAAAAAGAAGCTTTTTCTGTCATACATTTTTTATGCTTTTTTCTTTCGATTGCTTTGAATTTTTCACAGTCGCCTCTAAGGTATAACCTGTAGGCCCTTGTAATCACTGATGACTCCTAGAAGGACAGCTGTATGATGCAGTTTATATTAATTCCTTGTTTGGATCTATCATATCCTATCTAAATCCCATTTTAAGTGGTACTACAATTTTAATCACTTATGTGTATTCTGTGCAATCTTCAGGTTGCAGGTGGTAGATATGGCTAGTAGACTATTAGTCACCAAGGTGTGCTGTGACCTGTATGCCATATTTTAATTTATTCGAATAGTGAGCATGGCACAGTTCAAAATATACACATGTACTTGACGTTCTCCAGGTGCTCTTCACTTGTGTGTTTTTTGTACAATCTTCAATTAATTCTATATATTTCTACTCATTTCTGTAAACAACTGGCATATAACCTTAAGATATATGCAGATCAGGATATTACAAATATTTATCATAATTATCTCCCTTCATTTCCCTTGGATCCTTCGGTTTGTTTATAATTTGTATGTATATATGTTCATATCATTGCTGTTGTATCTCTTTTGCAAGTTTACTAGAAGAAACAGTTAGACCTGATGAAACATTGTATGATTATTTGAGGTGACTAACACAAGACATTTTGCTGAATCAGCTTGTGTTCTTTTAATTGTATTTATATCATGTTGCATGAACAAAACTGTTTTTCTTCGCCGCTTTCCTCACCATCCCACCCCTTTATGAGATCAAATTCCATTACTCCAAAGCAATCCTTCATTTTCAATATGGATATATTTTCACATAGCTACATTGCAATGTGATGAATATAATGGGTCAGAGTCCATCATCTTCATGGAGATATTGTTGTTTAAGTTACAATAAATAACTATGTATAACGTATCAGGAATGTCAAATTGAACAACACACAATTCATGTTCATTTATGCATATCCGTAGAAAAGCATTTAAATATAAACTTTATTCATTTTTCTTTACATCAATTGCCGAACACATTATTTCAATTTATACTAATCATTCTTTTTGGCCCTGATGTAAGCGTGTGAGGCGTCTTATTGAGGGAGGAAACCAGAATACTTGGGGAAAACCCACATGGTCAGGTGATCCCTTACTTTTTCACATCCTATCCTGGAATCAAACCCCGGATAGCTAGATGAAAGGCGAGAGTGTTACCACTGCACCACCCGACCACCCAAAGCACTTAAAATGACTATATTATAATTACAGCATCAAAACTCTGACCAACTGCCCGATACCTGTCATCCTATTCCAGATACATTACAGTATTACCTCTTTTCTAAAACAATGGCAGATGTACATGGGAGACGATAAGTAGTGATTTAGCGAGGCCTCTATCTAATTCTCATTATGTAGGCCTTGTCACAAGACGGATAGCAGTTTTTGTTTTGTTTTTGTTTGCTATATTTGCTGTACCCTTGATTGTGAATATACACTATACAGAATGAACAGAACAATAAAAACATTCTGATCAACTGTCATTTAAAATTAATGCAGTCTCGTGGTCATTTTGATATTTGTGATGTTCACTTCGACATCCGTCAAAAAACAGGAGAACTAGGCAAAGTTCCTACCTGGCGCACGTTTGGGGGAAGCTTTAGCCATGGCAAGTTTTTCCGTATGTTCGCTTCGATATCAGGATTCATGATGAACTAATAATAGCAATTTCGATACCTAGAACTTTCAATAGTACACAATTCATTATGTAGTGCATATTTTGCAAGACACCCCTTCGTTGCAGTCTGCCATGTTGGATGATGAGGAAGTGGTCATGTAAAACTATATTTCATTGGCCCAATGATCAGATATCTAACCAATGAAATTCACTGACACAAAATCTGGTTGGAATTGATTTGTTTATAAATGGCCGCCGAATGTGAACGTTGACGTGAAGTGTCCTAGGCTCGGTTATAACCGGAACAAGGACGTTAAGCTCAAAAAAAAAAAAAAAAAACGTTGACGTTACTCGATAAAAATATCAGGTTGGCTGTATATATATATCCACGTGAGTATGATAAGACTATACCACGAAATTTGAAGCGTTGAAGCGTCAATTGCCATTCAAATAATTTATATGTAACGTACAATGCTTGACACATTGAAACCCTACAGATTTTCGTAAGTGCAAGTGTCCTGGAAAGCATTCATTTTACAGTTTTACATTGAAAGAATAAAAACTATGTGCTGTAAACTCTATGACAAATAAGAGTGTTAAATTATTTGCTTCACGTATAAGTTTCGTTTTTTTAATCCAGATCTATTTTTCAGTTTACATACATGTATATGCCGCTTTGTCTTGGTATAAATAGTCGGACATAATTGAATCTTTAATGAGCGTTGTTATGTCATAAGTTAAGTGCTTTGATAACTATATACTTTTGCTTTCTGGTAGTCAAACTTTGGTATGGGAGAACTATCTACCAGGCCTGATCAGGTCCTTCAACATGTGTTCAAGCAGTATGATGCCTCTTGTAAGGGGGAATTAAATGCCATACAGATGCAAGCCCTCCATGGAGATGTGAGAGTTGGAGGGATAAGTCTACCCCAGGTAACATCATAATGCACCATTAGAACTTAAACAATTATGTGCTGCAAGTATATGTATATTCATTTCAGCTTTAGAAACAAAATCTAGTGGAGGCATCAAAGTTGATAATGATCTTTTTTACAGTAATTACCTATAAACAATGTACACTGATTTCATGTTTTTATGTCAATGTTAGGCAACAAATTATATGTCTGATTCATGTTTCCCTACTAATCTAATTGGTTTTACCAACCCTAAACTCTTTTTTTTTCATTATTCAATGAGTTATTGTTCAATTAAGTGTCGCTCATGCAAACTTTTATATAACCCATAATAGAAAAGTATTTAGGAAAAAGAAGAAAAAGAATTGAATTCTTTTATCAAGAAATACATACAATGTATTATGCTGATTAAGTGAAAAGATGTATATCAAAAGAGGTGCAAATTTTTCCCTTGCATTTGCAGGATAGTTTTTTTTTTCATATTTGTGATAAAAAAATTATAGTTATTCAACACAATTATTTAAATTCTACATGTTCTTCTTACCTTAATTGATGATATACTGTCATAGTTGTAGACTTTGATTCAATTATTTAGCTTTATATTATTCATACTATTTATTTCAGCACATTATGTATGAAGATTGTATCATCAAATACTTATACAGAAATGGAATGTTGAAAACAGTTTTGTTTTATGACATAAGGTTGTGGAATCCATCAAGTATGTATGTGTGGGTGATCACTGCCAGCCAACAGAGCTGCTCAACCTACTACAGGAAATGGACCGCAGATATTATCTCGTACAAGACCTCCGCTGGGAGTTCTCCCTGATCGACCGCCAACAAAAGGATACAATCACTGTCGATGAAGCAAGGTAGGTTACATTCACTATCAATGAAGCAAGGTAGGTAACATTCACTGTCGATTAAGCAATGTAGGTAACATTCACTGCGATGAAGCCAGGTAGGTAACATTCACTGTCGATGAAGCCAGGTAGGTAACATTCACTGTCGATGAAGCCAGGTAGGTAACATTCACTGTTGATGAAGCCAGGTAGGTAACATTCACTGTCGATGAAGCAAGGTAGGTAACATTCACTGTCGATGAAGCCAGGTAGGTAGGATACTTTAGTAACATCTCATGTGAGGAACATATGTAGGATATTATGGTAACATCTCAGGAGAGGAAGCTAGGTAGAACATTGTTGTAACATCTCAGGTAAGAAGTCTATAAAATATTTGACATCAATGTTACCTCAGGGAAGGGAAGCTGCTTTTTTAATTAACCAGGAAATTTTTCCCTTTTAACTTTCACAGATGGATGGTGCAAACAGTTCATGGCAAGTTTTTCTCCAGGAAGAAGTGGGAAACATTTATCAAGTCACGAGCAATACCAGGGAGTGGTGTGTCTTTTGCTGAGATAGAGGTTCTCCTGTGTAATATACCAAGTCGTGACGAAAGCAGGGATGAACAGCTGGAGCTTGAAAGGGAGAGAGAAGGTGACTATCTTCAAAACGAAGAGGATTGATACCGAAAATCTTTTGTAACTTTTCATTTTGATGAACTGAAATTTCATAAACAAATGTCCTATGTTTTCATTTTCTACTCTTGTACAAAAGATCTTCTTAATCAAAATCTCATCTTATGAAGTGTAGCAATGAATAAAATAATAGAATAATCGTAAAAATTTGTTGATTTGTGTAAATAGATCGGCTACGCAGACAGAAGTTGCTGGAAGAAGAGAAAGATAGACTAAGAAAGCAACGGGATGATGAAAAGAGGAGACAAGAGGAGGTAAAAAATTAACAATTTATACATGAATAGTTTTCAGTACTGTCTGATGTTTATATATTCATTGACTAAGGATTTACACATTGTATGTCAATATTTAGCTTTTGCTTAAGCAAGACCTGTTCACAAAGTTACTCAGCTGTAAATTGATTGCAGGAAAGAAGGAGACAAGAAAAAGAAAAACAAAAAAATCTTTTCGAGGATGAAGGTAAGATTTTCTTTCTTTTTAATAGATATCCTGTAATTACAGTTATTACATATTATAGAATAAAATTTAGTTATTAAAACAATTGCTTATTTTCTTGACCATTGCAATAGTTTAGTATCATAAAATATTACTTTATACTCAAATTCTTATCAAATTTATGTACATGTCAAAGTTTTTCTGTCTATTTGTAATACTAGTTTTGATATATTTGTACAAAATAAGTTTCAGATATTTTTCCCTTCACATACCTGTATATGTTATATTGGTGGTTAGAGACGGGGAAGATTGTTTTGTAATAAATGCCACTAATATTTCTCCCCTCCATCCCATTCATGAATTGTTAATAATGATTTTTGACACTCTCCAATCTTCCCCTGGTATCTAAAATATAATTTTTTTTTCTATAATTTTCTGAACTAAAACAATGTAATGTATCTTTTCAATACTTAAATATATAAGATATAAATATGACCTGCTGGAGCGAACAATTAAAATACTCATGTCATGTGTTAACCTTCTGTTAGACATTTATTATGCTAAATGTCAGAAAGGAATGATAGACACCACCTGAAATTGGACCAAGAAAGATTACCAATTGTGGTAAGCAAAGAGAGAGGTATAGACCTGGTATCTCAGGGCCACATGAATATTCATCAAGGCCAGAATCTGTGTGCTAATCTTGTGATCCATTCATGAATATGTAGAACTTGGATGTCAAGGCCTGATTGTCTCCCCTTGCTTATGTTACAATTCACCCATGCAAATATTTATGATAGTAAGAATAATCTAACTTAAATGATTTAAGTGTTGCAACTATCAACTCGTTTTTCATAATTGAACATTTAAATGTTAAAAGTTAATTCTGTTATTCTGTTATTTCTCTATAAAATCGTATTGAAAAATATTATTTTGATTCATAGACAATGTTCATATTGTGTTTTTTTTTTTCGGTGATATAAATTTCCCTCTGCAATAGGATATATATAGTGTCATTTAATGTAGCGTTCTCAGAGAATGGTGTATGGTGTCTGGAAACAAGTTAACACAAATCTATGTTAAAGTTACTATATAATGATCTCTTCATTTTCTTGCTTCAGACAACAAATATTAGACATAGTGAAACAGCAAACAGACATAGAAAATTGGTGTCAGTAGAAAACATCACCACACAAACTTGGTATATTGGTGTCAGTAGAAGACACATTGAGACACCACACAAACATAGTATATTTTTCAGTGGACGACACATTAAGACAACACACATATATGGTATATTGGTATCAGTAGAAGACACATTGAGACACCACACATATATGGTATATTGGTATCAGTAGAAGACACACTGAGACACCACACATACATGGTATATTCATGTCAGTGGAAGGCACATTGAGACACCACACAGACATGGTATATTGGTATCAGTAGAAGACATATTGAGACACCACACATACATGGTAAATTAGTGTCAGTAGAAGACACATTGAGACACCACACATATATGGTATATTGGTGGCAGTAGAAGACACACAGAGACACCACACATACATGGTATATTGGTGGCAGTAGAAGACACATTGAGACACCACACAGACATGGTATATTGATGTCAGTGGAAGACACATTGAGACACCACACAGACATGGTATATTGGTATCAGTAGAAGACACATTGAGACACCACACATACATGGTATATTCATGTCAGTGGAAGGCACATTGAGACACCACACAGACATGGTATATTGGTATCAGTAGAAGACATATTGAGACACCACACATACATGGTAAATTAGTGTCAGTAGAAGACACATTGAGACACCACACATATATGGTATATTGGTGGCAGTAGAAGACACACAGAGACACCACACATACATGGTATATCGGTGACAGTAGAAGACACATTGAGACACCACACAGACATGGTATATTGATGTCAGTGGAAGACACATTGAGACACCACACAGACGTGGTATATTGGTAGAAGACACATTGAGACACAACACAGACATGGTATATTGGTATCAGTAGAAGACACATTGAGACACCACACATACATGGTATATTGGTGGCAGTAGAAGACACACAGAGACACCACACATACATGGTATATTGGTGGCAGTAGAAGACACATTGAGACACCACACCACACAGACATGGTATATTGGTATCAGTAGAAGACACATTGAGACACCACACAGACATGGTATATTGATGTCAGTGGAAGACACATTGAGACACCACACAGAGGTGGTATATTGGTAGAAGACACATTGAGACACAACACAGACATGGTATATTGGTATCAGTAGAAGACACATTGAGACACCACACAGACATGGTATATTGGTATCAGTAGAAGACACATTGAGACACCACACAGACATGGTATATTGGTATCAGTAGAAGACACATTGAGACACCACACATACATGGTATATTCATGTCAGTGGAAGACACATTGAGACACCACACAGAGGTGGTATATTGGTAGAAGACACATTGAGACACAACACAGACATGGTATATTGGTATCAGTAGAAGACATATTGAGACACCACACATACATGGTAAATTAGTGTCAGTAGAAGACACATTGAGACACCACACATACATGGTATATTGGTATCAGTAGAAGACACATTGAGACACCACACAGACATGGTATATTGGTATCAGTAGAAGACACATAGAGACACCACACATACATGGTTTATTCATGTCAGTGGAATACACATTGAGACACCACACAGACATGGTATATTGGTAGAAGACACATTGAGACACCACACATACATGGTATATTCATGTCAGTGGAATACACATTGAGACACCACACATACATGGTATATTTGTAGAAGACACATTGAGACACCACACATACATGGTATATTCATGTCAGTGGAATACACATTGAGACACCACACATACATGGTATATTTGTAGAAGACACATTGAGACACCACACATACATGGTATATTTGTAGAAGACACATTGAGACACCACACATACATGGTTTATTTGTAGAAGACACATTGAGACACTTCTCATACTTTTTACTATTCTGAACTTGTCTTACTTTTTTTACCCTAGTATATCAGATCTATCACTGTGAAAGTGTGTTGTACTAATAGAAACAAAGACACCACTTTCTCTGTACTTATCATTTGTTAATTCACTACTGACCTACAGAGAATTTCTCTCAGTAACCATGTTTGTTAATAACTAATGACTCGAGATGTATATTACTTGAATACATTGATAAATACTTTGTTTCAGTACATGCTGATATATGCTATGTTTTTGTTTTACCTATTTTCCTGCCAGGCTAAATTTCGTGTCAGCAGTAACCAGGAGTGGTGATATTATAGGCACATCTGACGTTGTATGGTCTTTTAGCTAAAACCACAGTTAAGCTTTCTGCTGTCACAGAACAAGGCATGGCCTAATCCTCACATTTATATAGTACCAGGACTGCAGATACAAACAGATAGATTCTATCACAAAAATACTCCATACTTGGTATCCATACATGGATTAAAGTTCAAATGATTCAGACAAAAATTCCAGATTACCTCAGAATTTGGTTTTCTAAAAAAATATTTGAACAAATTATGAACATTGAAAACAATTCATGTTAATTTCATGGATATTGGAAATTAATCACAGAGACTCAATAGGTATTAATGTAGGAGATTACAGGTGTGCCTACAGGTATTTTATTTACAGTGGAATTAATTTACAGGTACTGTTTGTCTTTTGTTTAGAAATGGTTATATGTTAACTGTAAATAAACCATATTGTGTGGTGGTTTTTTTTTTTTTGTTTTTTTTTTTTTTTTTTTTGTCTTTTTTTTTCTGGCTTCAATTTTTTACCTCTACAAAATATGTTTTTGGAAAAAATGAATAAGTGTTTCATTTAAGGTAATCACTCATATAGAAAAAGTAGAAAATGCTGATATTAGTCTGCCTACAGACTATACAAAACTGTGGTTTACTGTATTTAGGGTGTAGATTTCTGTAATTTTTTCAATTTTTTTTTACTCTGAATTATGCAACTACACAAATACAAATCAAATCTCGAACGACAGTGTTCATTAATCACTGTAAAAAATTAGTTAATTTTGTTTAAATTCAGGTTGTAAGTTTTTTAGAGTATTTAGTGATCAGGTTAACTCACAGATTGAGTCGATATTGTACCAGGTATATGCATTGTTTGCAGTAAGACCTAAAGATACAGAGAAACCGAAGATAAACTTGTACAATTTAAGAGACAAAGTGTGATGAGATTTCAGAATAACGCCATGTAAAGATGGTAGGAAGTAGGAAATAAAGAGGAAAAAGACCAAAAAAGTGTATGATAATAAGAGAATTTAAAAAAAATCCAAAACTAATCCAACTGGATTAAAGACAAAGTGAAGATATTAATCTGTAGCATATACAAATTACTTTGCAAAATTTTAGTGTATGTAGAATCAACTCATTATTGAATTAAAAATCAATAAATGAAACAAAACATGATAGGAAACTGTTGAAGAAGTGTATTTGGAATAAGACCAGGTGTTCCAGTATATTAAGGTAAACCAATTCGGCTTCATATATGACACCTCTGCCATCAAGGTTAATTAAAGAAGATCAGAATGGCGGTCATTGATGCATCTTACATACTAAACATGATTAACTTCAAATTTCAAAATATGACGATGATGATGATGATGATGATGATGATGATGATGATGATGATGATGATGATGATGATGATGATGATGATGATGACGATGATGATGATGATGACGATTGACGATGACGATGATGATGATGATGAAGAAGATACATTTTATGTCATCAGTTTCCTTTATAAGTCATGGTTCTAAGTTCTATCAAGTAGTGAAAATTAACTTTAGTCCTCATCATTTTGACATCATGCAGACTTGTTTGATTTAGGGGATTTTCTAATATAATGGACAACATACACATGTTTGTGAATTTAGGTCGCATTTAAATAAGTAAAGTCTTAAATTCATTTTTTTTAAATTTCATGAGAAAACTTTCAAATAGTCAAATTCAGTATTTATATTTAGAGATAATGATTAATTCCTGACTTTATTATATCATTGATTAATAATTAGGGATTTTAATCTACATATCACAATGTGATTTTAATCTACCTAGGTAGTTATTAATGTCGCTGACGTACAAGTTACATAAACGACCTGTTATAGATCATTGTTTCTAAATACCAACATCAAAATATCCCTTACATTGGAATCCAGTTTATGTTGGAAATATTGCATGATAGATCATCCACAGTAAGCTATATAAAACTAAATACACACTGCTGCATGTACAAATGAACTCACCAAACCCGTTTTGCTTTGTGAGAGTGGGCGTAGGTTAATGTGTGTGTGTCTGCATGTTAGGGTGAGTGTGTGTGTATGCTAGAATGAGTGTTTGTGTTTGCTAGGGTGAGTGCACATGTTAGGGTTATTGTGTCACAGTGCATGCTAGGGTGAGTGTATTTGCTAGGGTGAATGTGTATGCATGCTAAGGTGAGTGTATTTGCTAGGGTGAGTGTGTATGAATGCTAGGGAGAGTGTATGCACGCTAGGGTGAGTGTATGCATGCTAAGGTGAGTGTATTTGCTAGGGTGAGTGTGTATGAATGCTAGGGAGAGTGTATGCACGCTAGGGTGAGTGTATGCATGCTAGGGCGAGTGTATTTGCTAGGGAGAGTGTATGCATGCTAAGGTGAGTGTATTTGCTAGGGTGAGTGTGTATGAATGCTGGGGTGAGCGTATGCATGCTAGGGTTAGTGTTTGTGCATGCTACGATACATGTGATTGAAATAAATATTACAAGTGGTGATTTACAATATAGTGTACATAATCACTTTTAAATCTATTTGTAAATGTGTTAAATAATTATATTGCTGATTCATCAAACATTTCAGAAATAATCTAAATCCCACTGAATTTGGTTCTGAGTGTTTTTGATAAATTGATACTATATAACATATGTTTACTGGATACTTTCCTGGTTTGGACACAATTTGTCACTCAAAGGTAAAACCTTTCCTGGAAAACTTTTCTTCGTAACAAGTTCTTTCATGATTTGAAGTATTTTCATTTTCATTTGTTGTTTGTTTATAGACATGAAAACAATAAATGTTTCTACAAAACAAACATTTCATATGATACAATAGTCATATTCAGTGAGAAGTTTACGCATCATCATTTGTCAGTATGGAACATTTTACATCGTACTGTAAATCTGAGGAGACATCTTTGTACTTTCCAAAGCTTGTTTATCAGACATAATGAATGAGGAAGGGATTTTGTTTCAGTTTATATATAATTGGTTTGTTGTAAGTGTCGTACCTTTCCCGGCCAAAATCTGTCACTTTGTTGGTGTTGTACTTTTGATACCTCATGGCCGTCACTCTGTAACTCTGTCTTACTTTGGTTTGTACTTACTTAATCTCTGACAGAAAATAAGCAGAATTTCAATTTTGCATGTCGTTGCACAGAGAGAAGAATCAGATCCAGGTCTGATCAATTTGGGTCTTTATTTTTTTTTTTTTTTCCATTTCGGTCCTTGAACTTTCAAGATATTATTAACTTTGTAGTGGTATTACTGGGGTATAAGATGACGTTCAAATTTCATATTTGGTCTAGTCAGCTCATTTTTTTTCCCAGAGTTATGGCCCTTGGACTTTCAAAATTCAAGAAATTCTTGATTAGTTAAATTCATTTCCTCATGCAATGTTAAGTAGGAATATTGAACTCAAATTTGCTGTGGTATTGTTTACAGAAAGTCAGCCTTAAGGTTACCAGTACCTGAAAAGTCACTTAAGTTTATCAAAAGTCATTAGTAGCTCTATACTTTGAACCATTTTCTGTACTTTTCATTAGCTGCCAATAGGGATAAATTGGTATAACACAGACTAGTACACCTACAAGTTGTGGTTACTGTAACTCAGTTTTAAAGTACATGCATTTGAATACTTTGAATTTGTGTAAATTTGTGAAATGTACATTTGTGATTTAATTTCAATATTTGACTTGTTCCTCCATAATGTGTCTATGTTCCTTTGTTTATACACTGTCTGGTTTATGATTCTAAAACTACAAACATATTTTTTATATATGTTTGTCAATGAACACTTGACATTTAAATTTTATTAGTTTTTACATATATACCTATACATTAATTTGTTCGGTAACTAGGACAGACATCAATAAAGATCTCATTCTGGTGAAAATCTTTTTTCTGTCACTATGTAATCAGATACAAATGAATTTTAGTGGTGCAGTAATATAGTTTTGAAAATCTTATATCATCAGTTAAGATATTGATAAAGAGATAATTATCTTTGATGAGCTGTCGAATTTTTGTCTGTGATCCTATTTTTTTTTCATTAATCTTGTTAAAAGTTTGATTGTTGAGCATTGAGATGTTAATTTCAATAGTGATCTTGTTTCAGTGTCTCATTTCAGCACTGACGAAATTTGATATATTGAATAAGATCGAACATGATGAAAAATCTTGTAGAATTTCTATTTATAGTCATTATGTTTGTCAATGAACACTTGACATTTTAATTTTATTAGTTTTTACATATATACCTATACATTAAATTGTTCGGTACCTAGGACAGACATCAATAAAGATCTCATTCTGGTGAAAATCTTTTATCTGTCACTATGTAATCATTTGAATATCTTGCCTATGTATTGATAATATTGTGGCTTTATTAGTACGTAGATAAATATGTATCCATAGATTTATTTTTCTGTAGATAGATAAATATCGTATATTTATTGAATATATTTTTATGTAGCTAGTTTCTATTTCGCTTTTTATCGGCTTATGAAGGGATTGACATGTTCACTGTTAAACCATCTCATTTGTTGTTTTGTACAGAACTTAGACGGAGAGAAGAAGAAGAGAGGCGGAGACAGGAAGAGGAAGAAGTAGGTCATATGTTGTCATAGTAACCAGGCAATGGTCACAGGAACTTCATAATACAGTGCCTGTATCACATTTAATCTTGGATTTGTTACGATTGACCATTACATAAAATAAAATGACATCATAGTCATAGTAAAGCTCGCTTCTGTCATTCTGTAAAATATCTATAGGTTTAACTGTGTCATGACTATTATTTTAAAAAAATACATAGCGATTCACATCTTTCATTCTTTTTTTTTTGTTGTTGGTTGTTCTAGGAGCAACGCAGATTGAGAGAATTGGAGAGAAGACAGCGAGAAGAGGAGGAAAGAAGAAAGAGGGAAGAAGAAGACCTTTACAAAGATGTAGAAAAACTAGCTAAGGTAGAAGATTTTTTTTAGGTCATCAATTACTTATCGTTTACTTACTTCTCTCTCCTTTCATACATAATCCTTAAAGTGATTAACACATTGAAAGTTGTTTCAACTTATTTTGATTCAGAGCAGTAAATACATGCAAGATATTGTGACTGTACACGTCCTGATTGATGGAATTTGTATCCTTGAATATGGGTTCAGTTTGATGTGATCATGTTAAAAGTAGGAATAGTAAGGAAGTATTGTAACTTTCCTGCTGGTTAAAGACATGGCTATACCTGCTGAATTGGACTGAATATAACTCACTGTAGATTGATTTCCTTGTCACAACTGGACTGTGATATTACTGGCTGTAGATAGGATTTCCTTGTCACAGCTGATAGTAATGTATTCAACTGCAATACAAGTTAGGTATTAAGTTCTAAGAAAGCAATGGTGACAAAAATAGTTTGTAGTGCACCATATATGTGTATGTTTGAGAAAGGTGGTTACCTTGTACACTTATAATTACAGCGTGCAGAGGAAGAGGAAAAACAGGCTGAGGAGGAGCTAAAGAAACACAAGAAGGAGGATGAAGAACGTGAAAGACTGAAGAAAAGACACAGAGGTGAGATAAAGATAGAGGATGGTTTATCATTAATATGGGTATGGAAAAGTCTTATCACAAGGTCATGTGACATTGCTAATAAGTATGTTTAAAGGTATCATCATATGATCATGTGACATCGCTAATAAGTATGTTTAAAGGTCTCATCGCAAGGTCATGTGACATCGTTAATACGTGCATCCTTTTGTTCTGGGCAAAAAGATGAAATGACATTGCTATACATGTCTACTGTATATGTGTTAACATGTTTTATATCCCAATGAAAAATACCAGTTTATCATGCTCCCTGAAGGGAGAGCATATAGTTACCACTTTGTCCGTCTGTCCCGTCCGTTTGTCATAATTTTGTCCGGGACATAACACAAAAACTATAAGAGATATCAACATAAAACTTCATAGGAAGATAGATCTTAACAAAGAGAAATGTAGTGCACCAAAAAACAACACTTTCTTTTGACAAATTTAGGAGTTGTTGCCCTTTGTTATATTTCATACTTGAATTTTGTCTGGAACATTACATTAAAACTATCAGAGGTAGACAGATCTCAACAACAAGAAGGGCAGTGCACAAGAATCATAACTCTCCTATTGCCCTTTGTTATTTTTCATACTTAAATTTTGTCCCATTTGGGGAGCATAACTGGTCTCTAACAGCCCTTGTTTATAACTGTATTGGTACATCATAGATTCCCGACTGGGGTATGATATGAAAGATTAAACAGAGAGTTTAAAATACATGATCTGACAAAAAACTGATATTCCTTAAAGCATCATTATATCAACAATTATGAGTTATCCTATGTTATAATTTTTTCATAGCTTACAATAAGCACTGGATGCCAGATTTCATATGAAATGCTTTGTGTGTCGGATATAGTTATTTCAGTATCAAATAATGTTTGTGAGTAGTCAGTTACATGTGTTATTATTTGATAATTCAAATGCCATTCTTAAAGAAGACACTGAAAATAATGACACAATTAAACCTCTTTCTAAATTATGTCCCTCAAACTATATTGCTAAAATAATATGTAGAGATAAAACTATGCAGTAGTTAAGTCGTATTTTGTTATCTTGAATTCAGCAGGGGAAAAATTCCAGTTATCCGAGTTTTTGATTTAAAGGAGTTTGTATGTTTGGTTTGAAGTTGGAAGGGACCAACATAATATTTTAAATCAAAGGACATCTTTGAGTAGTATGAGTTTGAGATAATGATGTTTGACTGTGTGAAACTTAACACCAATGATTCTGGGAAAAGTGGTCGATATCTAGATAGTGTTTCTATATAGATATAATGACTTAATGAAAAAGGGACCGCTATATTAGAAGATATAACTATGCTAACCTGTGTTTCCTGCAGAACTTAGAGACCGGAAGATGAGATACAACCTGAAGGTCGCCATCAAATCTCGGGACAAATACCAGCTGGAGTATAACATTACAGAGTTTAAAAAAGAGAAAGTGGAGGATGTAGACATGGATCTCATCAAAGCTGAGAAACTTCTTAAGGAACTCACCTCCAGAGATGGTAAGTCACTATTGAAACATTATATTGTTTTCTATGCAGCCATTTGATTTCAGAATTAGTGAAATATCAACTGATATTACTTTGATTAATTGATTAATGTATTCCAGGTTTGAAGAGAGCCATGACAAAGAGAGAAATTGAAGATCTGGAGAAGGCCATTCAAACAGTCAAGAAACATGGATTTGAAGTACAGTTGGCTAAGGAGCTAGCAGAGGCCAACCAGTTGTTGGTACGACTGCGTCGTCTGGAACGCATCCGGCATGAGATCCTGGAACTGAAGCAGTCGACTGTTGCAGAGATTCGTAGTTATCAGACGCCACCTCTGTTAGTCCACACCATAATGACTGCAACTTTCCTCCTGCTGGGTCACAAGGAAAAGGAAACAAAGGTAGTCAGATTTAGCACGTGGTTGATACACTGTTATACAAATAGGCTTTGTGTTACTTACTTAGGTTCCTTTGAATATTCTAGTATGTCTTGTATTGGTTGACCCTTACACAGTGATATCAACACTTTTCCTTGATCTGTTTTCAGGACTGGAAGGCAGTGCAGGCACTGGTAGGTAAGACTGGTAAGGAGAGTTTGAAACGTCGCTGTGTGGAATGCAAACCTGAGGCCATTCCTATAGCTGCAGCAAAGCGAGCGAAAACCCTTCTTAACAAGTTTGAGCTTGACGAAGTCCGGGACGTGTCAGCAGGAGCAGCTACATTTTATGTGTTTGTGAGTTGTCTACCCTTAATAATAATTACAAATATTGTAGCTCTTGATGAATAAGGAGTTGTCTACCCTTAATGATACTTGAAAATATTGTAGCTCTTGATGAATATGGAGTTGTCTACCCTCAATGATAATTACAAATATTGTAGCTCTTGACAAATTGTCTATCAATAAAGAGATGTCTGCCCTCAAAATATTGCTCTGAATGAATTTCCTATCCATTGGTGACAGTAAACACTATAATGCTGTTATCGCTTAGAAATCTTCTTTACTTAGTAACAGTAAACACTCAAAATTGTTATTTTTCGGAAGTCTTGTTAGCTTGTACTGTGACAGATAATTTTCAAATAAATTTTGAGTGTTATGTTTGTTATGCTAGAGACCTAGTCAGTAAGGACCTATAACATCATCGTATATAACCATATACAGATAATTTCTATTGCTGAAGTGGTATCTTTTCACAGAAGTGTGAAACTGTATTCTAGAGAGACTAATTAACACAGGGTCCGGTTGCGGTTGCGTATTAGAGCCTGTCTGAGCCTCCTCTTTATCTTTCAATTTTTTTCTACTCCATGTTTATGTTTGTTGCAGTCCACAACCATGATAGAAGAAGCTTTGGACCTGGACGAGCAAAAGAAAACTGCTGCTGAGGGCTCCAAATAGAAACTCTCAGAGGGATCAACACTAAGCTGATCACTAATGATTAAAGAGAGAGTGTGAATGGCTCCCTAGGGATCCTGTAAGGAATGAGGAATTACTAATGAATAATGAAGAGTGTGAGTGGATCCCTTGGGATTCTGTAAAGATTGGATGAAATCTAAGGATTCTGCATAGACTAAGATTCCACTGGAGACTACAGTAAAATATCTCAGGATTCTGTGTAGACGAGGAATCAATTTGAGACTATAAGTAAATATCCAAGGATTCTGTGTTGACCAGGAATCCATTTGAGACTAGAAGTAAATGTCCCAGGATTCTGTGTAGACAAGGAATCCATGTGAGACTATATGTAAATGTCCCAGGATTCTGTGTAGACCAGGAATCCATTTGAGACTATATGTAAATGTCCCAGGATTCTGTGTAGACAAGGAATCCATGTGAAACTATAAGTTAATGTCCCAGGATTCTGTAAAGATGGAGAATCCTTTCGAATCTTCAGGAAAATCAGGTTCTTGGGAGTTTTCCTGTGAATTATGATACATACATATTCTCTGTTGTTCTTATATATTGCAATAACATTTGAAAATAAATTTTCATGTATAGATTATATAGATATACCAGAATTAGTTTTACTAGAACATACACTTAAACAAAACATACAATTTGTTACGGTTTCATAGACCTACAGTCTTAATTTCTATTTTTTATAAAAATATCATTTGCCTTTGTCTAGTCTGTTAATCATTTCTCTGATCCATCAACACTCTTTTTTTTCACTTAGTCTCAAAGACAGGGAAGTGTATGTAGAACCGTAACTCTATACAGACAGGTCAGTCAGGTATCTGGAGGTCATTTTGTAATAGATGTTTTTGTCTGATGGTCATGAGGGTCTTAAGTGTTGAAGATTTAAAGACAGATGACCTTCTCATCATCTAAAACTTTAAAGCTGTATCCTCGAATCATCGAAAATGGAAACACATATTAAGAGCAGATGTTTGTTATTCAGTCCATCGGAATTAAGTTAATCCCTACTTCACAGATGTGACAGCTAATGTCAATGTTTGTGAAGCTTCGAATCTAAAACAACAATCTGGGGTTTGTGTCGATTTTGACTCATATGTTTCTGATATTGCTCTTCAAAGTGCTGACAACATGTACATAAAGCCATGGATTTGATTTCATTAGGGTGAGATTAGTTTATATAGCCCAGACACCATGTATATAAAGCTGGGGCTTCTACTGTTTACTGGTGTTGACAGACAGTGTTGTGTACCGGGATACCTTAACCCGCTCTCTCTCATGCTGTTTGAGTGTACTTTTATGTTAATCTATTATTAGTAGCAAAAAAAACAAAAAAAAATTGTCAAGAACATAAAAAGATAAGAGTTCATGGTCACATCACAGAGAGAACTATACACAGAGTCAGATTTCCAGCACTCAGCACATTACAGCATATTGCTGTGGTACAAACAACAGGATCTGTACACAGTCTGGTTAGTCTACAGGACAATATGGTATACAATATTTCTGCCTAATGTTTCCTTAATCAAGACTGAATTTTAATAATTTTTTTAAGCTGTTTTCATATATTTATGATGTTTACAGAATAATTCTCTAATTAGTTGAAGTATATCGTACATTAAAGAAGGTCTTATGTGTAGTTTTCATAGTGTTAACAATTTTGTATACTGTATTTGATAAAATCTGTTAATCATATTTATATTGTTGTCTATACATACCATTTCCTTTGCAGGCAAGGGTATATATATATTTTTTGAATTCCTATATTTATAAATAACAAATTGTATTGTTTATGAAACAGGGCTGGTCTCTGTTATTTTTAATGTCTTAGTAGATTTATATAGATTTACGTTTCCAGTGACTTGTAAGAATCTTGATCCTTTGATAAAAATAGCCGTTTGTTATTAATAAAATATTGACAAATGATGTATTCATATTTATTTTTTTCTTTTCCAAAATCTGCTGAATCCTTAATTATTAACAATTCACATACAAATATATGTTGATGAAACCCAGCATATCACTCATAAGATGGTAGATTGTTATAATTATACAAGTTTTCTAGGAGAACAAATATTTATAATATAATATGACGCGTGCGTATGTACATTTATTGATAATTAGGGCGCACGCGCATAGCAGACAAATCTATCTAAATCTACAACTGTTTGACGTCAAAGATTTAATCACCATGACAACCATGGCAACTGTAAAGTCATTTTGACCGAGTATCTCGGTTTGGGTAACCATGTCAGCCTCTGAAAAAGTCAGATTCACAACTACATCCGGTTTTGTTGATATTGGTGTTGTAGTTTAGATGGGATTTCTGGGAACGCTCAGTGCAAACAGTCAGAGATTGATATAAAACATTTTTGATATTTTAATCACCATCTTCCATACAACAACTTCGGATGTTTTTTCTCCGCTATAAATGGCCTTCGGCGTCCATCGGCCGAAGGGTTTATCGAGACATCTAAATTTACGCCACCGTTCTCGATTTAGATTTATAACTTTGTATCTGTTGCATGTTCTATGGGTGTGATGTATTTTATGTAATATTTATGTCATGATAAAGGGACAGGTTGTCTAAAACATTTGACAGTTCGCTTGTCTGTAGTGTCGTTATTACTTCATTGATCATATATCTAAACCAGTAATACACATCCAAAGAACATTTGTTTGTTTGGATCCAGTATCAACAATTGGACCATACCGTCGGTATTACTAGATTCAGTCATGATGGTAGTGAAGTTTTCATTCATAAAAAGATACCGTTTATCAAGCTGAAGTGAGAGAAGATGTAATGCACACGTGACTGTAAATCTTTCTACCATCGTTTTGGGCCCCAGTGTAATGCACACGTGACTAAATCTTCCTACCATCGTTTTGGGCCCCAGTGTAATGCACACGTGACTGTGAATCTTTCTACCATCGTTTTAGATCCCAGTGTAATGTACACGTGACTGTGAATCTTTCTACCATCGTTTTGGGCCCCAGTGTAATGCACACGTGACTGTGAATCTTCCTACTATCGTTTTGGGGCCCAGTGTAATGTACACGTACCATCGTTTTAGGTCCCAGTGTAATGTACACGTGGCTGTGAATCTTCCTGCAATCGTTTTAGATCCCAGTGTAATGTACACGTGACTGTGAATCTTTCTACCATCGTTTTAGGTCCCAGTGTAATGTACACGTGACTATGAATCTTTCTACCATCGTTTTAGGTCCCAGTGTAATGTACACGTGGCTGTGAATCTTCCTGCAATCGTTTTAGATCCCAGTGTAATGTACACGTGACTGTGAATCTTTCTACCATCGTTTTAGGTCCCAGTGTAATGCACACGTGACTATGAATCTTTCTACCATCGTTTTGGGCCCCAGTGTAATGTACACGTGACTATGAATCTTTCTACCATCGTTTTAGGTCCCAGTGTAATGTACACGTACCATCGTTTTGGGCCCCAGTGTAATGCACACGTGACTGTGAATCTTCCTACTATCGTTTTGGGGCCCAGTGTAATGTACACGTACCATCGTTTTAGGTCCCAGTGTAATGTACACGTGGCTGTGAATCTTCCTGCAATCGTTTTAGATCCCAGTGTAATGTACACGTGACTGTGAATCTTTCTACCATCGTTTTAGGTCCCAGTGTAATGTACACGTGACTATGAATCTTTCTACCATCGTTTTAGGTCCCAGTGTAATGTACACGTGGCTGTGAATCTTCCTGCAATCGTTTTAGATCCCAGTGTAATGTACACGTGACTGTGAATCTTTCTACCATCGTTTTAGGTCCCAGTGTAATGTACACGTGACTATGAATCTTTCTACCATCGTTTTAGGTCCCAGTGTAATGTACACGTACCATCGTTTTGGGCCCCAGTGTAATGCACACGTGACTGTGAATCTTCCTACTATCGTTTTGGGGCCCAGTGTAATGTACACGTACCATCGTTTTAGGTCCCAGTGTAATGTACACGTGGCTGTGAATCTTCCTGCAATCGTTTTAGATCCCAGTGTAATGTACACGTGACTGTGAATCTTTCTACCATCGTTTTAGGTCCCAGTGTAATGTACACGTGACTATGAATCTTTCTACCATCGTTTTAGGTCCCAGTGTAATGTACACGTGACTGTGAATCTTCCTGCAATCGTTTTAGGTCCCAGTGTAATGTACACGTACCATCGTTTTAGGTCCCAGTGTAATGTACACGTGACTATGAATCTTTCTACCATCATTTTAGGTCCCAGTGTAATGTACACGTGACTGTGAATCTTTCTACCATCGTTTTGGTTCCCAGTGTAATGCACACGTGACTATGAATCTTCCTACTATCGTTTTGGGCCCCAGTGTAATGCACACGTGACTAAATCTTCCTACCATCGTTTTGGGCCCCAGTGTAATGTACACGTGACTGTGAATCTTTCTACCATCGTTTTGGGCCCCAGTGTAATGTACACGTGACTGTGAATCTTTCTACCATCGTTTTGGGCCCCAGTGTAATGTACACGTGACTGTGAATCTTTCTACCATCGTTTTGGGCCCCAGTGTAATGCACACGTGACTAAATCTTCCTACCATCGTTTTGGGCCCCAGTGTAATGCACACGTGACTAAATCTTCCTACCATCGTTTTGGGCCCCAGTGTAATGTACACGTGACTGTGAATCTTCCTACCATCGTTTTGGGCCCCAGTGTAATGTACACGTGACTGTGAATCTTCCTACCATCGTTTTGGGCCCCAGTGTAATGTACACGTGACTATGAATCTTTCTACCATCGTTTTGGGCCCCAGTGTAATGTACACGTGACTGTGAATCTTCCTACCATCGTTTTTGGCCCCAGTGTAATGTACACGTGACTGTGAATCTTCCTACCATCGTTTTTGGCCCCAGTGTAATGTACACGTGACTATGAATCTTTCTACCATCGTTTTGGGCCCCAGTGTAATGTACACGTGACTGTGAATCTTTCTACCATCGTTTTGGGCCCCAGTGTAATGTACACGTGACTATGAATCTTTCTACCATCGTTTTGGGCCCCAGTGTAATGTACACGTGACTGTGAATCTTCCTACCATCGTTTTGGGCCCCAGTGTAATGTACACGTGACTGTGAATCTTTCTACCATCGTTTTGGGTCCCAGTGTAATGTACACGTGACTATGAATCTTTCTACCATCGTTTTGGGCCCCAGTGTAATGTACACGTGACTGTGAATCTTTCTACCATCGTTTTGGGCCCCAGTGTAATGTACACGTGACTGTGAATCTTCCTACCATCGTTTTTGGCCCCAGTGTAATGTACACGTGACTGTGAATCTTTCTACCATCGTTTTGGGCCCCAGTGTAATGTACACGTGACTATGAATCTTCCTACCATCGTTTTGGGCCCCAGTGTAATGTACACGTGACTGTGAATC